CTTTTTGTTTGTACTTTTTCTCATCTTGGGCCAATTATTGTTTACGGCCCGTTATAAATTATTTATTAGCCCATTACACCAGCCTTCTGAAGCCATTTATTACATTCACGATTTAGTTTCGTTTCGGTTTAATAAAGTATCAAGATTTATCTTGGTTTCGGTTATGTTTATTACATTTTGTTTTTTTTGTCAACGAATATAAGTATTACAATTTACATCTAAGCATGTTCTAGTACATTCGTAACAACAGCGACTGAAACTAGAACATTCGTTTCCATTTATTGTTGAGGCTTATTTTTTTTTTTACTTGAGCCCAAAGCAAAGCCCATTTATAGCTGACCACGTCATCTTAAACTTTTTCTCTTTTTAAAACCTCATATTTTTGGTCAGGTCAGTCTGAGCTCTCAACCTACCATACAACACCACATCACCCTTTCTTCTCTGCGAATCTCTCTTTGAATTTTCTCTGTTTCTCCGCTGGTAAGTTTTCCGATTTCTCTCAATTCTCAGATCTGTTCCTTTTACCTTTGATTTCTCACCGGCGAGTGGATCTGAATCCCAGATATGGATAGCTCCGGCGACGTTAACTGGAAACTTGAGGACCATCCCAAGCTTCCCAAGGGTAAAACCATCGGATTGATTGTTCTTGATGGTTGGGGTGAATCTGATCCTGATCAATACAATTGCATCCACAAAGCTCCAACTCCTGCCATGGATTCCCTCAAAAACGTATGTTTCGTATTTCCTTTTCCTCTGTTTTTCTCTCCAAATTTCTGCATGAAAATCGCTAGATTTCAACGTTTTGATTTCTCCACAGGGCGCTCCTGATACATGGAGGTTGATCAAAGCCCATGGTACTGCGGTTGGTCTTCCCAGCGAAGACGACATGGGAAACAGTGAAGTTGGTCACAATGCTCTTGGAGCTGGTCGAATTTACGCTCAAGGTGCTAAGCTTGTTGATCTCGCCCTTGCTTCTGGGAAAGTCTATGAAGATGAAGGTTTCAAATACATTTCTGAATCTTTCGAGAAAGGCACCGTGCATCTTATCGGACTTCTAAGCGACGGTGGTGTCCACTCTCGCCTCGATCAAGTGCAGGTACCCAATTGTGAAAAATGTTGAAAATGTTGGCGTTTGTGTAATTCCTTCTAA